CTATTTAAAAATAAAAAATTATATTAACTAATATCATTATCATTGTTTATTTTTGTCACTTTGAAACGGTATAACTACACTTATCGGTACGGATACTAGTACTTATACTGGTAAGATTCGGCAGTGACGACAGTTCATTCCACATTTCTTCTTCAACCTTATACCAACAAACATCGAAGATTGAAGGCCAGAAGAAACAACAAGAGTGACTACCAGCGAAGAATGACCGATACGATCCCGTGCGCAACTCTTAATGAGCATCGCCACACTTTGATCGTACGGACGAAAGACGACGACTTTCCTGACGTTCTAGAGTCGCGACCATCGAGCAACGTTCGACGTGGTCCCGTGCGCAATTAACGCTACGCATCGTCACAATGTCAAACWACGACGACGGCCGGCGCGACCAGCTATAGACGACCGATACGATCCCGTGCGCAACTCATATCGAGAACCGCCACAAGCTTGATCGCACGGTCAGACGACGACATCGGACCCCGGCAATCAAGAAATGTAATCGACGACCGGTACGAACCCGTGCACAACTCACACCGAGCTTTGCCACAAATCGTTCATACCACACGACGACTCCTGGGTGTTGTGGACTGCCAATTATTTATCTCTGTCCACGGAGCTAATCAAGTGGTAACCTCTCGTTATATCCGACGTTGGAGAATGGTGTAAACCTGAACTTCAACGCGGATACTCTATGCACCACACATAGATTCGTGGTATAGAGATATAATCCGGCGACCCAGAAAATCGCCAAAGTTCTACACCAGGCAGGTACATCGAGCGAATCATAAGACGAGCCAAACTCGAGGAAACCAAAACTGTTCTCTTCAGGAAAAACCTGTAAATAAAACAAGTCTCCCCCAAGCGCGCCTACCTAGGCCACGCTTAATTCGAACAAATATTGTAATTAGACGCCACTTATTTGGACGGGCCTAAAAAACGATATTTTTGTTCATTCCATTAAATGTAAAATTGTAAAATTAATTTTATTATGTGTATATTTGTATTCAACTATTTATAATGTATTTAGATATATGATAAATAAATAAATTACATTATTATGAAAAAAGGGACGTATTCATATATAAATACAAAACAGTTGTTACATTGCTACACGGTGTGAACTGTTACAATTRGCGCCCAACCAGTGGTAAGAAGACCACGACAACGAGATCAACCGTAGACGACATCGTCAAAAATTGTGAAGAACACGCATGCAGATCGTATCAAGCAACTGGAAAACACGGTGCAACAGCTCCAAGACACTGTAAATGCTCATAACACCGCACTCGATAACTTAGCTATGGAGTTACGAGAAGCTAAGGACACAATTAAGCAACTAATCAATGACACGGATACAAGAATAACGGTTGAAGCAGCAAAACGTGAAAAGGACATCCAATTGA